CCCCAAAACCCCAAAACCCCAAAACCCCGTTTTATTAAATAAAAATTGAGAAACAATGCATTTTCAGATATTTAAGATCCATCCATTAATTTTACTCCTTCGAGTTGATTTTCTGCAAAAATGTCCTCCGCTTCATTTTCCTTTATTCCACAGTTCCAAATGCATACTTCTCTGAGACTCAACTTTAAATCCGGAGATGTTGAGAAGCCTTGTACCAAATTCTTGAACTCGTCAAGATGATCTCTCCAATTGCTGTATGAATAGTCTCCTGTTCTCCATAAGTCTATTATCTGCACTTTACAATTCTGAAGAGCCTTTGAGAAATCAGGAACTTTTGGAATGGACAGTTTGCAGCTTTTAACTTCTAGTCTTTCCACATGCTTATAAGCTGCCACAAACCTCTTCAGTTGATGAAGGTTAAGACAGAACCATTGTAACGTCACGCTTTGGGTTACCTTTGAGCTGATCCTGGCCAATGAATTAAAGTAAATACCTCAACTTAACTTCATTTTGCCAGTGAGAGAAATATATAGCACATTAGTTTTATCGGGAAATGAGAAATCTATGAAATTCAGAGCATGCTTGGTTTGTCATTTGTCAATTTTCAATATTACCTTATCTACATTGAAGAACTTCAGAAACTTTAAATTTTTAGGAAGTTTCATATGTATAGATTTTCCAAAATGTATTCCAAGTGAAAAGTTTACTCAGTGCTCATCAGATTCTGGATCGGGTAGGCTAGCTTTAATATTCCTTAAAAGTGCATTGCAGTAGATATCTCAGCATCTCTGATATTGTTGCTCAATGCTTTCTACCAGGAGTGACTCCTCTCGACTATACAATGAGAGATTAGATAAGAAGTCAGATTTATGTCAGAATTTGGAGTAAATGCAAAAATAATTAGGTGAGTCTTCATTCGAAATTAAGTACGATCCTGAGTTTACGAGTGGAAAAATATAATTCAATGAGAGTCAAGAAGCCTCCTTGAAAAATAAGAAACTTGATTTCTCTTCAACACTAAGTATTAATTTAACGCCAGGATATTGTAATCACATTTAACTGGCAAAGTGTAAAATGTAAATATTAATATGAAATTTGGTGTAGTTGAGAAGAGACTATTATTTGGCAATACTGAGGTAATGAAAGAAAAAGAGTCGCTCTTGTCACTTTGGAGGTCTAGTATTTAAAAATACTAAAAATTTTGATCTCAGGGGTATAAAAACGTTCTAAATTTGTCTAAAATATGTTGAATCGTCAAATTTTAAGTTTCCATTTATAATTATCTCAAAACTTGCTAACTTTACCTAATCCTCTGGTAATACTTCTCTTGATCAATCTCATCTCTACCTTCCATTCTAATATTATTATTTAATATACCTATTTTCAATTTATGTTCACTTGGCTGGGGTTTTGGGGTTTTGGGGTTTTGGGG